AAGACCCATCTCTTCAGGCAGACTTATAACTGAATCCCTGAACCCCATTTTAGCAGATAACTTTAATCTTTTTCATGTTTCCATGTTTTAATCTTTCAATTTTATTTTAATTGATATATTGTTTAATTTTAATATTAAACTTATTATGTTTTTAATTGTTGTGAGCTGTTTTGGGTCCCTTGTTGGGCATATAACAACAACAACAACAACAACAACAACAACAATAACAACAACAACAACAACAACAACAACAACAACGTCTTGCACTCTGGGATGATCAAGAGCAGATCCTGCCCCTCCTCTGTATGATCACCTTTCAAGTATTTGAAAAATGCTTGTTCTATCTCCCCTAAGTCTTCTTTCCCCAGGACTAAACATGCCCAGTCTTTCCTCGTAGGGCTTGGTTTCCCCTGATCTGCCGTCCTCTGAACTTGCTCATTTCTTGGCCTCCTTCTTCAATTGTGATGTCCAGAACTGGACACACTCCTCTAGATGAGTAACCAGTGCCAAACAGAAGGGAACTAGTACCTCACAGGATCTGGAGACTCTACTTCCGTTAATATCTCCTAACATAGCATTTGCCTTTTTTTCCAGCCATTTCACACTGTTAGCTCATATTCATCTTTTGATTCACACTAATTCCAAGATCCTTCTCAGTCGTACTATTTCAGCATTCAAAATACTAGGTCCCCCACCCCCCCTTGGAGGGAGGCTAGTCTAGTCCAGAGTTTGGAAAATTACTTTTCAAAAGCAACCAGTGACCATGATTTCATTTCTCATGATTCAAAAGCAAGTAGAATAATCATTTCCTTGTGCCTTCGAAAAAGCCTCAAGAATGGAAAATTACTTTTCAAAAGCAACCAGTGACCATGATTTCATTTCTCATGATTCAAAAGCAAGTAGAATAATCATTTCCTTGTGCCTTCGAAAAAGCCTCAAGAATGCCACAAGCCACAGCCTTGTGTTACAAAACACAATCTACAGTAAAACAACAAAAGAAACTGAGAACTGCAGCTCGGCTGGAGAAGGAGCGAAGCTATCCTGTGTTGTATTACAATCACATGTCCAGTGTGGATGATAAATGTTGCAAAAGTTCCCAATTCTTTAATTTGCAGATAGCCATATTTGTATACCTTGCTGCTTATCACTTTACAGGTTAACCTCTTGGTGTTTCCTTCGGGCAAGATGCATATAATGATTCACGATACACCAATTCTATGGCTTTCTGTTCATCTTCTACAAGTCACCTAACCCAGCCTGCAGTAATTACACCTGGCAGATGGCACCCTAATCTTCGACATTGGTACAAATGAAAAAGATGCTCAAGAATAGCACCATGAAAAATTAATGGTGCAGGCTTTGTGGAGCCTTACTGGAAAGCAAACACACCTGCCGGGTTTATGTTTATGTGCCCATCAAAAGGGCAGCCGGATGAAAAGCAGGAGCCAAAGAGCCACCGTGATACTCACAAAAGGCCTTTCGTCGCAGTTGAGAGCAACGTGGCGAACCAAACTGATCCACAGTCTCGAGCTGAAATCAGCAAAATGTAACCCAAAATATAAGGAAGCAAACTACAGTCGCCACCAGTTTTTCCAGATAAGCGATGTGGGCCTTCCAACCACTCAATGGCAGCCACATCCTTTGCATGTTGATGGACCCATGAGACATGTCTAGAATGTCACAAATTCATGAGGTGCTGATGTCCACAAAGGAAGAAGCAGAGGAAAAATAGGTTTTGATGGAGGTAGCAAGAAATGGCAAAGATGAGGGATGCAGAAGAAACAGAGGCAGGAGAAGCTGCATGGACTCTGTGAGGTCCAACCTCTCTTCCCTCCTCAGGGAAGTTTGGGCCACTGCTGTCCTTAGCCTTTTACCAATGCTCAGCCAGCTACAATATACAAACCAGTACAGGAGGAACACTGGGGTGACAGGTTGTACTCCTGGCTGATATACATTCACTGGAAAGTGTGTAGATAGCTATTGTTTGTATTGTTGTTGTTGTTTAGTTGTTTAGTTATTCACTGGAAAGTGTGTACTGTAGATAGCTATTGTTTGTATTTTTGTTGTTGTTGTTGTTTAGTCATTTAGTCATGTCCAACTCTTCATGACCCCATGGACCAGAGCACGCCAGGCCCTCCTGTCTTCCACTGCCTCCCGGAGTTGGGTCAAATCCATGTTGGTTGCTTCGATGACACCATCCAACAATCTCGTCCTCTGTCGTCCCCTTCTCCTCTTGCCTTCACACTTTCCCAACATCAGGGTCTTTTTCAGGGAGTCTTCTCTTCTCATGAGATGGCCAAAGTATTGGAGCCTCAGCTTCAGGATCTGTCCTTCCAGTGAGCACTCAGGGTTGATTTCCTTCAGAATGGAAGTTCCAACATAGGCCAAGTTTATTGAAAATCCCCGGCTCTTCCCCTCTACTTGTTCATTCAACAAGAACAAACACTAATGCAACAGGCAGTAAATTCTTGGATCCTGCTTTTATAGGTCTGGAGGTGTCATAATAAAGAAACAAGGATGAATCTCAGCTGTCACCAGCTCCCCTGGTTTTTATTTATGTAATTACAACACAACTCTATGTGCATTTATCTCACTGAATGGTTAAGTCAACTGTGCCCATAAAGCAGGTGATACCAGTATAAATAAGTACATAGTCAACAATCAATCTAAAACAACTCAAACAGATTTAAAATAATCCAGTTTTTTTAAAAAAGGACACCCATCTTTTTTGTGTCTATCAATCCAGGGCAGAGCTTGCCACTTCTGACTTCGGGGGTTGGGGAGAGAAGGGAAAGCCATTCCAGAAATGAAGTTATTTACGTAAAAATTGAAAGGAAATGGTGCTAAAAGGCAACCTTGTTGGGCAGAGCTTGGAAAAATATGCTTTTCTGAACTACAGTTGGCCATGATGGCAGCAGAGGTGTTGTGAGAGTTATTACCCTCCCATCTTGCCTCCAAAGTAACTTCTGAGCTAGACAATGCAGTGTTAAGTAGAATAATTATACAAAGTAGGAAGCAAATTTAATCTCAGATTCTTATTTCACTTCACTGCGTTCCAGGGTGCCCTGAAATCCAAGTGTTACCAGGGGCCGACCAGCAACATTGTAAAAACACTGTCATCCTGTCTGTCGTTGCTAAACTTCTCCCATATGCAGCTGCTCATAAGCACTGGGTGTGCTGCTGTGTCTGGAAGACTTGGCCAGACCCCCATTGGGAGGTTCTGCCCTGGATGTCCTGTAACACACATAGTTTCCATGAATGGTGGGCCAATGCTGAAAAAATTCATCGAAGTGACTCAGACACACTTTAGTTTTAGGGAATATAATTTCTAGAATCCAACACACATAGTTTCCATGAGTGGTGGGCCAATGCTGAAAAAATTCATCAAAGAGACTCGGACACAGAGGTCGAAGGCATTAGTTTTAGGGAATATAATTTCTAGAATCCCATGGCCTGCGTGGTCAAGAGTTCTGGGTGCTTGTCGTCCGAAAACTAGACCTTTCTTACCTCTGCTTAGATAAGTGCATGGTAAAGTTCATCTGAAACAACCTATACAGATCAAATTGGAAAATGAAACACGTGTATTGATGAACTGCCTGTTTCCAAGCCACATCACGTCACTGTCTCCTAACCTTCAAAGTGGAAAATCATCTAAATCCAGTGCTAGTCCCAACTAGAGCAGCGCCGCTAAATCAGTGGGAAATATACAATTAAGGACTGACCAAGTCCCCCTGGTTGAATGGGTTGACTGCAGCTGTGACCAGCAACTGGCTTAGACCTGAGAGTTTACCTACAGCACACAGTGATAGTCATGTAATACCAGTTTAATTGCCATATCTCCATAGTGGGAGAGCACACTTCTGACGGTGCCCATTGCACCATGCAGTTTTGTCCGTTTGTCTCCTTCTGAATTGTTGTCTGGAGGAAGACATGCTACCTGGTATACAATTTCTCTTCCTGCTGAATGCATATTCATTGGTCATGCTGTCTCATCGGTAGACTATTAAATGCTTCATCTCGCTTATAGAAAGTGAACACCAACCAGCCAAATGAACCCTATAATCCTATTAGGAAATCATTTTCTCCCTTCTGTTTCCTCCAGGAGTTCTGGGAGGTAGTTTCTGGCTATGGCACCAGTGCTTTATTGCGTGCGCAATTGCATTATGCAGGACTGGGTTATCAAAAGATCATGGAGAACACAAGGACATCAACAAAGCCTGTGACAAACTCAATATATTGTACTGCCACGACCACAGAGCATCCTCAAATTATCAGCCTCCTAGCAACTGGCATTATCTTTCTTGCCACCCTGGTAACTTTCTTCTGCACAAGAAAAAAAAAGACATTCACATTTTATGCTACTGTCAGCTAACAGAAGCAGGGAAACAGCTTGGTTTACTGGAGGAGCACCTTGCAGTAAACACAGATAGATAAAAATATAAAAATGTGAATTTGGTGCAAAGCAAAATGGTCTGAAATCATATGATGGCTAGTATTACTGGACCTATTCCAGAAGCTGTAAACCTCGAAATACTAGTTCCTAGGGGAGAAACATCAGGGAAAGTGCATTATTTTTATGTCTTGCTTGGATGTGGGGCCAAAGTCCTTCATGCAATTGAAAATAACTTTTCTTATGTGTGCTTACTTTTTAGCTGTTTATATTACTCTTTAGAGTGCCTGGACAGCTCAGTGCTTTAGGTATCTGGCTGCAGAATCAGAGGCTGGAAGTTCAATTCCCCAGCTGTGCCTCCTGGGGGAAAAGGCAGCCTGTATGGCTGTACAATCCTAGGGTATCCCCAGAAAAAGAGAATGTTAAGCCACTTTTGTGTATAAGCTAAAACTGACCTCACTGCACCTGGCTCTTATTCTAGGACTTTTTATCCTATACGTTTCTTTTTCATCCTCCTTTTTTTTCTAACCTTATAACCAAATTGAAAATTTTTTTACATGAAAGATTTAGCACATTTGTGGCCATGTGCACAGGCAACACGTTTCCTTACCAGCTGTTGGCCTTTGGGTCCCCATCCTGCATACTGAAGCTTTGAGTTGCTAACTTCAGGAGGGTACAGATTTTGCGGTTCCCTGTAAATAGATAACATGGGAGAAAGTAAACATTTGTCCCAGAGCACTCTCTATTAAATTGCATCACAGCAAAAAGCTGATTTGAGCTTTTTAAATAAATTGCCACTGGTCTGCAGGTAACATTGTCCCTTTTCACGACCATCCCAAACGCTCAAACCTTTTCCTTCTTAGCTTCTGTTTCAAAAGCAACTTGCAATGCAGCAACGAGTATTGAGGGAGAAGAAGGGTTTTGGGGTTGTTTATGTTTCCATGGCAAATGCAATAGTGTATTTTGGGTAGGTAAATAGAATCCAATACTCTCCCATTGCAAAGTCCAAGCATTTAAAAATGGCATACACTGGGCACTTTCAGGCGCACGGCTCCATGTTCTGTTTTCTTTGGACCCCATTTGAGTCTTGCTTGAGAACTAACTATCCTTTCTCCAGCATGACTGGAGCTTCTGGGCACAATGGTTAAACTGGTCAGGGGAATTCGGACTGGGCAGGAAGAAATGAGCAAGGTCGAGTGCCAGATTAGCACTGTGGCAATGTAGATCATCTCTAAAACTGTGTGTAAGGAAGAGAGGACAAGGAAGAGGTGGTGCCTACACTACACAGACATCTCAGTTGGATACCACCTGAACTGCATAGTTCCATTAGAATCCTAGGAATTGCCATTTCGAGAAATACTTAAGAAATCTCTGTGAGAGAATTCTAGCACACTGCCCTGAACAAGATACAGGACAAATCCCAGTTCTCGTTAGGATGATGCCTTGACCTTTCAAATGATATCAGTCCAGTACAGTGCAGAACTGACTAACTCTCATGGCAAAAAAAACCTCTGGCATCTCTTCAGCCTCATTTGCATCTGATATACAGACTAGCTGGAAAACAGAATACCTAATGAATACTAATCTGTCACAGTTCTTGCACCAGGACCTGTTCCTGTGGTCTAATCTTTTAAACCACTGACTACACTTTTTTTTTTTAAGCAAACAACAACAAACAACACAGTATTGCCAATGACACAGACTTAGGAATTGAAAATAGACAATGCATGATTGGAAAAAAAAAGGTCTATAATTAATAAGCATTGAATCGTATTTGGAGCTCTAAAGAAATCATGTGATGTCCAGAATGCGGTAATAATGTGAAAAAGGGAATACTTGCTCTGAAAGTGCAAATCAGTTTGGCTTCACACAATGCTGCAGTTCACCCCAGAGGGGGCATTAAATTCTGCTCTGGCTTCTTCCGTGGGCAGCAGTACTGTATCACCATGAACACTCTCTGTCTTGCCTAATTCCGTAACTTCAGGAAGACTGAGGATGGGTACTACTCAGATTCAAAATGACTAGGAAATCCCAGGGATTTCCAGGCAGGACTAGGAAAGAATCCTGCTGGAAACAGTCAGGCTGACAACACTGGGCTAGATGGGCCAGTGGGCTGACTCAACGGAAGGCAGTTTGCAATGTTTTTGTATGTACGGAAGCACAGAAACTGAGGTGTTGAGTTCTAGGTTTGCCTTGGCAAAGCACCTTCCACCTCTTGCCTCACAAGGGAGGACAAGGTAAGTGCACATGCACCTTTGTGCACATGTGCACACAAGCAGCACCAGCATTCACCTTTCTCTCTCCGTTTTGTTTTATGGCTCCTATGGGATGAGCAGAGTTCCTTTCTGTCTGTATACCTAATTACCTGTCTATCTAGGCAGTTTAAGGAGCTTCTCCTCGTAAGATGAGTAAATGGCCAAAGGGAAAGCCTTTTTAAGACAGGTCCTTTGAACCACGTCACCTACAGACATCTCAAATAGAACTGCAGTGCTAAAGCTCTTCCTGAAAAAAATTGTCTGGTCACTTATATCCAGCCACCTAGAGTGGTCCTTAGTTGACCAGATAGGCGGGATATAAATAGAATAAATAAATAAAATAAATAAGAGAACCAAATCCCTCATTGCAACTTCACAATGAGAGAACATTTCCCTTGCTGTGTAGTCATATCCATAATAGGTTTGGTGACAACTGGTTGATAGAAAGTATTTGTGATGGACTGGCTGTTTCAGAAAAGTTTCTTAGTACACGTGAAAGAAAGTTATGGCTCCTATATGAGTTCATATCATGCTCTTGGTATTGCACAATCTCATATTTCTAAGTTTCTGTCAGCATCAAGCTAGATATGCAAAAATACAGGAGTCATGTATATTTTCTTTAAAACAATCTATAAGGTACCCTTCTGTTTCCTCTTGCATCATGGGAGACACCCCACAATTTGCTCAGTCGTTCTCGAAAGGCATGCAGTTTAGGATCAAAACATCCCATCTGCCACCGGATTTCCATGCTACAGCTTGACATGTTGGCTTGGCCAAGTCATTGTGTTCAGAGTAGAGGGAAAGAATCATGGAAAGGGCAGTGCTCCTCTTTTCTGAGTAGACAAGCAGCCTGTACTTGTTTGAGGAAGGTCTCCTGACAACTAAAAAGGCCACAGTAGCCCATCCACTTTCCAGATGAAAGACTGCATGCTTTATGTAAGACCTTCCACCCGTGACTGAGGCTCTGGGCAATGAATGAGCCACCACCACAATTGTAAGCCATCGTTCAGAGCATGAAATAGACAGATCCTGTCAGTTCCACTTACTGCATCATCTTTCAGAAGGGTGAGATTCTATTACAAGAAGAACCTGCAGCATAAGCTGTCTTTGATAACTGATAAGGTGGTAACATAACATGGATGAATGAATGCCATCTGCGCCATACCTTTGTTCCTACCGCACAGAAGTTCTGCCACTATTACAAAGCAAATAGTGTTTTTCCCCTTTTCTCTTTATCACAGCCTGTAATCTATTTTTAAAGATGAAAAATAATGTTAGCTATTGATCTGCCTCCTGGTTAGCTTCTGATCTTTATGGGTGACACAAATTAGTGATGCTTTTCTAGTTTGGTTCTGAATCCTACACTGAGCCTGCAAATAGTACCAGGGAAATACAGTGGCTGAAATTCTCATCAAAACTAGAGTAGGTCTACTGAACTATGGTGAACCAACTCCTCCATAAATTCCATTGATTAAAGGGGCTTATTCTAGCTGCCCTCCCCTGAACTGCAACAGAGGACGGCAACAAGGATGATCAGGCGACTGGAAACCAAGCCCTAGGAGGAAAGACTGAACTTTGAGAAAAGAAGAAGAGATGTAATAGCATTTTTCAAATACTTGAAAGGGAGTCACCCAGAGGAGGGGCAAGAGATGCTCTCAATCATTCCAGAATGCAGGATGTGTAATAATGGCCTCAAGTTACAGGAAGAGATACCCAGATTTCCATACTGGAAGGATCAATCAGATGTTGAAGAGAACACAAGAGTCTACAACTTTTGAAAAAACTGTAATTTGTTCTAATCTACTTCTCAAGAAATGGGCCATCATCTCTAATGGCAAAGCTTAGAGATGGATCTGAAACAGCTGTATATGACTGATACCATGTCATAAAGGTAAAGGTTCCCCTTGACAATTTTTGTCCAGTCATGTTCGACTCTAGGGGGCGGTGCTCATCCCCATTTCCAAGCCATAGAGCCAGCATTTTGTCCAAAGACAGTTTCTGTAGTCACGTGGCCAATGCGACTAGACATGAAATGCTGTTACCTTCCCACCAAGGTGGTACCTATTTATCAACTCACATTTGCATGCTTTCGAACCGCTAGGTTGGCGGGAGCTGGGACAAGTGACAGGCGCTCACTCCGTTGCATGGATTCGATCTTACGACTACTGGTCTTCTGACCCTGCAGTACAAAGGCTTCTGCAGTTTAGCCCGCAGCGCCACCACATCCCATATACCATGTCATAGCATCATGTTAACTGATCAAAATGGCTTAGGACCAGCTTACCTGACATGCTAAATCCTTACCCTTGTGAGTCATCCATACACTTCCCATTCTGTGCTAGAATGCTCGAAATTGCATGCATTACCCTTAGCAAGGCCTAATGTTAGTGCCCATGTAGTAGAGTGGAGAGCTTTGGATTCTTTCCTTTCTCTACTCCATGTTTTTGCTCATCCATTGCCTTTTTTTAAACAGCAGAGCAGCTCTGCCCCTAGATCTCTGAGGCCAGCTGGCAGAAAGGGCTTCTGACAACACATGGAGGTTCCTAATGCAATCCTAATGCATTAAACCCCTCCAGCCAGTCCATCTTGGAGTTATGATGGCACAGTGATTAAAGAAAGAAAGGACATCGCCTGGCCAAATCCAGAGAAACAAAGAATTCTGGTTCAAACACTGGCTGGAATTTCTCTCATGTTTGGAGAAGTAGTAGTATCCAGCGTGTGGCCCTCATCTTGCAAAAATACTGTCCATGCCTAAAAAAATAAAATAAAATAAATCAGTAACCATGCAAAAGCATCTTCCACTTCATCTGTCAATGAAAAGGAGTGAAGGTGAAGTATAGAGAGTCTGTTGAGTAAATAAACACTTTTAAAAAAATCACCTTAGGACCCCTAACATAAACAACCTCTGGCTCTTGACTGCATAAACCACTTTTCAGAAATTGCGATGTACTTTCTGTCACAACCAGTTGTTGTTCATTCTTCTGTCTTGTCTCTCAGTCCTAACACTGGTATTAAGCACGGTGTCTTTTCCAAGAGTTCAATTTAGCAGAGAACAGAACGTCTTCTCTATGTCTGTGAGCCCTCCCTTGTGGTCTCATTTGCAGGGCTTTGGCAGGTAAATAAAGCTGTGGGACATGATCCTCCAATTCCACTGTCTCATGGAACCCAAACAAGAGTTTCCAATGACCTCACTGGTTTCTCTTGTGCCCAACCTCATTTACTGTTCTCATTATGGAACCAACTCAGCGAAGATTCAATGAATTAATTTGCATTCCATTTGCCACTTCTCTGTCAAACATACTTTGGGTATAATGACTTCTGTCAAAGTAGTAAGAGTATGAGCTCCTGAGATAATTTTCAGCCATAAGAGTTGCTGCCCTCTGGCTTTGCAAGTCTATCAAGAGAGATCTACTAAGGGTGTATTTATTTTCCCTCTT